ATGTATCAAGTTCCCCTAAAAGTAATCAAGTCCTCTCAACTTCACCTCCTTAAACTAAAGGGATGGAGATCCTTGAACTTCTTACAGTGACAAATATTTTCCAACGTCTTAATAACTATATATTTCTTACTTGTATCCTTCTTAAACTGTGTCTCCTACAGATGCATACAGTATTCTTATACACTTAATAATCTTCCTACTGCTACATATATATTTTTATAGTTCTACAGAACATTTATTACTTTACCTTCTTTGAGGGCTTAAAATAGACATTATTCACAGAATAAATGCATTTCTTATGAACTCAAAGCCCTGAAAACTTGAAATGAAGTTGAATATTTAATTTTAATTTTGGCTAACCTACCTTAGACTTTTGCAGGTAAAGACTTGCAAGAATTAACTTGCTGAGAAATGTATGGGGATATTGCCCTGCTTTAAAGGGACACAGTAAGCAGCATAGTTTGGGAAAAATATTTTTAATGCTGTTACAACCAGTTTTGAAAAGGAAGATATATGTGGTAGCTGTAACATGAAATTGAAGACTGGAATATTTGCTAACATAAAGAGATAGCATTGGAGCAGTTTATATTTTAATGTTCCTTTAAATATATGATTTCCAAAGTCACTAGTAGTTGTGTTCAATGGAAATACTCTTGAACGACGTCCATTTGAAAGTTAGTAGAAATGTCAATATTTATTCACAGGATTTACTGTATTTTCTAATAACTTCATAACCCTTCCAACAAACAACTACTGAATAAAAAGTGTCTAATTCTCAGGTATGACACAGCAAAAATTTAGGAAAATTTTCAAACAATACTCACTTTCTCCCTTTAAAACATTAGCAGTTAATTCAATCCTCTTAATATTTATTCACACAGTTTACTCAATAAGTAAATGCACAAAAATAGCAGGATAATCATGCATAGAAAAATTTCAGGAAGAACATATGAAGGAACAAATGATTAAGCAGGTCAGTGTGCAAGAGCAGATTAGGGCTAAAATCCAAAAGAAACTCTGAAATACTGTAAAAAAAGGCCCAGTTTCTAGGTTTTTAATTATTTTACAATTACTTTTCCTAAGACTATAGCCTGAGCTTAGCCATCAGAAGACAAATGAGAATCCACAGGGAA